AACCCAAATTGATGTTTAGTTTGGGATGCGAGTTCAATGCAGATCGAAAGAGGCCGTAGACTACATGGTAGCTGCATGCAGCTGCCATGCCGCGGGATTGACCGGTTTACTGAAAACAGGTTTGGACTTTGATGTGGTTGTCATGTCATGTCCTTTTGGCCAACAGGTTTTTTCAACCAAGCAAACTGGCCATAGTTCACCTCTGTTCACCTTTCATAGTGATGAGGGCGATTTGGTAGATGATGTCTAGCCATTCCTCATGCATTTGATGTTTAGACGTAGGTCAGTTCAATCCATATCTTAAAGCCGCACCAACAACCAACAGCATAGAATACTGAGTGATGTTTCCTTCTTGTTGGGAGACTCCTTGGTGATTACCAAGAACAATGACACTTCTTTTTATTGATCTCCACCGTTGAAACACATGTTTTCTGTGTGTACTGCTTCTACCCTGCTTCACTGGAAACTGAGGCGGCCGCTGGGGAGCCGACCCTCTTCTCAGGTGTCGGTTTGAAAGAGGGTTGCCAGATCAGGAGTGGAAAGAAGCAGCATCGAAATTCGGGCAGCATCTATATAATCCCCTCTTTGAGGTATAAACTATTGAGAACCGCAGGGACAACAACCCTGCTCCAGTGTTTGAACTGTCTATCCAACATTCCGTGAACCTTGGTATTTGTGGGTGTGGATCCGGATTTGGTCAATCCACCGAAGATATATCCACGAACTCTTTGTCATGAGTAGAGTCCAGTAGAGCCTACCTGATTCTCAGTTCTAATCACCCTGTTCTTGGTTTGCCAGAGTCATTGGCACAGTTGGACCCAGGACAACTGGATAGAGTCGAGTGTTTGTTCAGGCTTCATCGAGGTGCATTCCTAGTGCTGGGCTATGTGCTGACAATATGTTTTGTATTGTTTTGGTGGAGTTTCTTTTGAGCAAACATCATTTAATACTTGTACTTCCAAGGCGAGCAGGCAAGATGAAACACAGAGGTGTTTGTTTCGAAGCGTTGTCAATATTTGTCAGTCAGCCTCGGTCGACCTCAAAAGCTTGCAGGAACAGCTGTCACTGTAAGGGTCCCGCAACAGCCATGTCCGTGGTCGAATTGGCTTTGTCCTTTCCGGGTCCGAGCTTGCACAAATGCAGTTTTTGAGAAGCCAGTCCAATGCCAAACCCTCATCATCCACCGTGCATGAATGGCTCAATCACAAGTGAGTGGAGTGGGACTAGCAACTTGAAGTCCAACGTGTTCTTTGGCAACGGCAGTAGCAAGAACTAATGTCAACGACTGTCCAGAAACTATTGTCAAGAACTATATACTGGGAGTAGCAACTTGAAAGCCACTCCAGGTCCACTCTCTTTGGGTATGAACTTCCCGGGCCCCTGCCTGCTAGTCGCTGCTATTCGTGTCCACCTCCACAGGTGGGCATGCACAGGCGGATGTGCCCGGACCGGCAGGGCGAGTCTCGAGAGGTACAAGTTACTAGTAGCAAGAATGCTCCTAGTAGTATGGCCAGGAGCCCCTAGTAGCGTCCTTGCTCCTAGTTGCATGCGGTTTCTGAACGTTCAGTTTGTGTGACAAAATAGGTTTCAGCTTTGAACACAAGCGGCTTTGTGATGTGTTACTGCCAGTGCTTTCCACTGGCCTGCAAAACTGCAAACTGCTTTTTGCACTTTGCTTTCTCTACATCTTTCGGTGTGTGAAGGTGGGGCGTTCAGAACTGAAGCCCGGAACAAACCTGCAGATTTTGAAGGACTGAAACCCCTCTTTCGCTCCACAAAAGCCGCACATGCTTTACCTCGAAAGGCAGAAGAGATGATCCCGCCCTGGCAGGCTTCAGGCGGATTGGCCGGGTTTCCGAGCGCGTCGAACTTCATGCAGACGGTCCACATGGAGCAAGACCTCATGTGTTAGTTGTTGTCAGGAAGATAGTTCTGATCCTGCGATCGATTTTTTGCACAGCATGGTTGGAGGAGGCAAACAGTCCTAGTTTCATAGGTTAAAATGTAGAAGGCTCTACAACAACTAGCAGTTAGCAATCAGTTCACAACCCCCAATATTTGCAGTGTTTGTTGAATTGGCTTGGACAACCACTACACTGGCCATATTAGGTGCAGGGTGCCCGAGGACCAGTTACGGCGTCGGTGCCAGGGCTCCACTCTTCGGCAATGGGCCCCGGCTCTTCGGCGCCCGAGTCGCCCTCCGAGATGCCAGCAAGGAGTCCAAGTGAAGCGACAGAAGCGGCTGGACGTGAAGTTCACATGAAGGGTTTTGGCAGAAACATGTTTGGCGATGTTTATATACATAATTATAGTAGTAATTAGTCACGTTTCCTGTGAATCCAAGGGACAAACATGGACAAAAGCAAATTGACTGGATTCGTGTCAACAGAGCCACAAGCGTCAGATAGCCTCAGCATATATTGAGTAGTTGACGTTGACAATACATGTCAGGTTCCTGGGATAATCTGGTATACTACTGTATATACACACAACTACAATCAACTACCATCTTGATATGTCAGTCCCTACCACCCGCCAATCCACATTCACTTGCTTTGTGTGACGGGTATCTCCTACCCACCCAACACCCAAGTCGACATACTCAGCGTTCTCCACTTTCCCTCATTCCGCGCGCATTCGAGGTGCCCACAGAGATGCCCACCAGCCCAGTGATGGACATTGGAGAGGCGGGGAGTGGCGAAGAAGGCCGCAGGATTGGGAGAGAGATGAGCGAGAATCTCCATGGATCTCCCTTCACACAAAGATACCTATCCGTTTGATGAGGATGTGTTTTGCAGAAGCTGGCAGCAGTTGGCAGCTTTGTAACCCTGTCAAGGATAATTCCACAAATCTCCAGGGTTGCAATACAAATTAGGGTTGCCATTGGCTTGAGCAGCTCCTCCCAAAGGCACCTGGGGGATTGGGTTGTATCTCACGCGCTTATGCACCCTGAGAAGTACTTGAAGACTCAGATTGATCAACATCATCCATTGTATTTTTGGTCTGGGCCCCTTCATGTCAGAGCTGAATACACAGAATGCTTCCATAGTCTTGCCGGATTGTTTTCCCATCCCAATTCTTTCTCAGCGCCGATAGGCACCACTACCTGTGCCAATTGCGCCCTTGTCTGAAGGCGGGCTTTGAATTTTGATTGTCCGAGCTCAGGGCTGCAATCATCCACGATGGTCATAGCGTTGTGGTCCCAATACCTGTGAATAGACTACAGCCAATCTGAGTCTATAGTGGATTTGCAAGGATAGGGGGTCATGCCTATAGAGCAATTGTGGGAATCCATCATTCAGGTTGCAGGAGAAATACATGTTCATGTAGTGGTTGGAGGATTGGAAAGGGACGCTGGAGATGGGTTGGCAGCTAAGCAATGTGTAGCGTGGCCACATGATCAACGTTTGCACATGCTTGGATCGTTTGGTGATTGGGTGAAGGTAACGGGTAACGTTTCCACAAAGGGCCCCTCTCAAAATGCCCATCTGTCGACATTACGCATGGCAGAGAGATGGAAGAGATCCTTGTTTGCACAGCCTTCGCAAAAAAAAACACCAGGCGAAGAAGAGGCAACGGTGCAAGAGGCAGCTGTTGGCGGCTGTTGACGTTTGTTCGGCGAGGGACAGCCACTACGGCTCGGCAGATTTGCCTGTTGTTTTGATCCTCAGTGGGGCAAAAGACACATCCAAGGTTCTGGTCTTCGTCACTCCAACCCAACTGACACATCCGTGGAGTGCTCATTTGTGACCAGTTCTGGGTCTCTAACTTGAAGCGTCGACAAGGTGCAACGAACAGGGCGAGTCAGCGAGCATGGATGGAGGGAGGTTTGAACATGTGGATCAACGGATGGAGACTTTCCACTTTTTTTTTGGTTGAAGTGTTAAATGGTGAGACGACAAACCCCTACGCATCCCCCAAAAGGAATGGAAAGGACTCCTTCTTGCCAGAATTTTCCAAACACGAGAAGCGAGACGAAGGCTCATTTGCAGGTGGGCTTATTTGTTGCACTCGTTGACTTGGGAATGCACGCCTTGAAGCTGCACTCAGATAGACCCGACAGCGGTTCATGTCAGTTCACAGGCTTACATGGGACCTTCATGGAACCCTTTTATCCTCCGTCAATGCAGGCCGAGGTGCCAATGCCGTTGAGGTCCGCAGGCGTGCCACTTTTCGCACGGTTTCGACCGACGCACGAGCTGTGTGGCGTAGACTCGACCAGCGTCGACCGGGGGCTTTGAATATTGGTTTGTTGATTTCAATATATATATATATTTCAAGTCACCTCCACTGATCCTCGCTCCAGAAAGCGGCATCGCCTAGAATGTCCTCTAACACTGAGTGAACTGGGAAACTATAACTGTGCTGTGTACACCTGAAGTGGAGGGAGTTCCTCAAGCACGCTATAGTTTTTTTGGCATGCACCAGAATACCAGGACAGGAAACTATTGAGATCAAAAACAGTTCACCTTCTTGCAGACATTGTCCGAAGAAGATTTGTGCTATTGTCCTTCTCGGAAAACAGGGCGGGTGTTGACCTGGTTTCTTTTCTACGATCCATGTCACAGACACTCAAAGAAACTATTGAATATTTGCTGTGCTATTACCGGAAGTGGTTTGTATCAAGTATGTTTTTGCTCTTGATCCTTGGGCTATCCGGCTGTCCATTCCATTTACTGGATTGGCTTTATTCTTCCTCCCGAGGCCTTCCATCTTCAGCCTTGGTCTCGTCCTCGATTGGATCACCCTCAGAAATGCCCGTGGCTTGGCTTCTGTGCTTCGTCGGTGCGCTGCGGCAGGGCTTCTCCATTTGGAGTTAAACCTTGGGAGGTATAGCTACGGGGGGACCCCGAGGGTGGGATACAAAATTGAGCTTAGTGAACAACTGGAAATGATTGCAACCTGCTCAGAGGGTACGTGATGTATGTGGATTTGTGTGAAGGGTGCAGTGTTTAGTGCGTAGCAGCAGCATCCAGGGCATCCAGACATCTGGTTTGTCTTTTTGTTGCTTGTGCAAACCGCTGCGATGTTTTTGGGTGCCAAGTGCACCATTTTAAACTTGAAACACTGGATTTTGTGAAGGATCATTAACAATATGTTTCCTTGCATCATTCAATAGAAAATGCATGAACATATATGCATTATCATTGACCGCTTGAGAACATTCACGGACCCCGTGCACGGCAAAGCGATGCAGCTCGAGCCCTCATAGAACAATGCCATGTGTATATATATATATATTTACATAATCATGTATTTATAACATTGACAAATGTTAAATAAATAGATAAATATGTTAATTAATTTATATACATTTTCAAAAGGCCGCACTGCTCGCAGATCCTTGCAATGTCTGACCTCGGTGGTGTCCTGTCCCTCGTTCTCACGGTCGTCCGTTTCGGGCCCCAGCACTGACACCGCCGGCCAGGTGCCCACCGAGCTTCCCACCAGTCCGGTTTCGGAGACCGACGAGGTCGAGACGGCTCGGGGTCCCCGGTGTCCGCAGCCGGGCGGAGGGTGTGAAGTATTATTGAAACATGCATGCAGGTTTGATCTTGTGAGGGTGAGGTTTGATCTTGGCAAGTGTTTCGTTCTGAAGGACACTTCTCGAGGTATCAATCAATTCAATCTCCAACAAAAAGGATTCTTCAGCAGACTCCACATGAACATATCCTATAGAATTCCACCATTCCACTGTGCAATCACCGAAGTCACCTGATGTCGTTCAAGCCCTTGGGATGAATTTCGATCTGTAGGCCAAATATATATGTACACATAATATACTGGTACCGTATATATATATATGTTTGCTGTTTTGCTGTCAACTTCTTGTTCCAATTTAGCTAGGAGTTGTTTTTTAGACCACATGCATCCTGAAACGAGTGCTTGTCATTGAAGTGGTCGTTCATGGCAAACTCCGTGGATGTGCTTACCTCTCTCTCTGTGAGTATTTGCATTGTCCATCATTCCACAGCTGCACAGAAAAAATGCACTGAAGAGACTTCCTAATAGGTTGGAGGCCATCAATAGTAGGTATAGGTTGGAGGCCATTGCACTGGGATGAATTCCTCCGTCAGTTGGTCCAAAAGCTTGAGTGAAAGCGGGTCGATCGAGCACCGGAGCGGGCGGAGCGCCGAGGTGCAAGAGCCCACGATTTTCTCAGGCGGCTCGGTGTTATCTACGCAGTTAGGTGACGGTGTATAAATACCATCATATGGCTATAGTTTATTGATGTTTGAAGGTATTAAGGTAGAACAACTCGTGGGCTTTAAGGATTCTGCAGGGGGACGACGGGGACAAAGTGTAAGTTTGCAGTAGAATTTGGGTAGCCAAGATTCATCTATTGAGGTTAGCAAGAAAGGATTAATGGACATGAAGGCACAACTGGGTGCTTAGTGTGCTGTTGGTGTGATGATGATGGCGCTAGATGCTGCGCTGACTTGTTTGGAGGTTTCACGACGAACCCACCATTGAGCACACAGAGGAACATAAACAACACGCCCAAAAAACTACGAGTTCAGCTTGGTTAATCACAATGTTGGCAAGTGCGCAGGGTTCATGAGAAATGGGTGGCCGTCAATTAGGTACCGAAGAGCGGGATTACATCGAAAGTAGAAGGATAGCACAACCTTCAATTCCAGCATTGCTATTAGGTTGGAGGCCATCGTTAGTAGGTTGGAGGCCATTGCTATTATAAAGGTTGGACTATACCGCACTACACCTTCTCGCTTCCTGATGGTGTATTCTTGGTCATTTTGCAGCGTGTGACCTATTTTTAATATGAATAAGTGAGTGTCATCCCCCAAGTTTTGCTCCAAAGCTGCATTGGCGGCCAGGGGTCGTTTTACTAGTTTCTACTGGGGGGTGTCACACGGGCAACTGGATACGCGTGTCTTGGTGCCATCTACTCTGAACCCTTGAACCCTACTTGCTCATGGCAAAGTTTGGCCTAGTGTTCAGGTTGCACGCTTGGGGCTTGTCTTCGGCCGCCACGGTCAATCAGACCGGTATGGTTTTTCGGACAACGGCCACTTACTGGGAGCATAGAACGAAGAGTTCAACTACAGAACTGTTCAGATCCTGGGTTTCGAAAATAAGTGGGTGAAATGTGGAGTTTCCGCGGGACACATCATGTCATCGTGGATGGATGGCACTTCCAACTTCGAAAGGGGTAGCTCGCATACCCGGCCAGGGGAGCCCACGAGACAGGCGGATGTTCGGGTGTGTGTGATGGGCGGTTTGCGACGTCTGTGTGATTTTGAAGCGAGAGGTGTCCAAAACTCCGAGACATTGGGAGTATTTTCATGGGGATCTCATTTCTCATGGATTCATTTCAACTATGCAACACATGTTCGAACAATGATTTTCATAGTGATCTCATTGGGATTTTTTGTACAGTATAGTACATCAAGACTAGGAATCTATGGTAGTTTCGTTTTTGCCTGGCGGTATCAAGAACAATCTCGCAGGTATGTCTGGGAGACCCTTGCGTTCTGTTAAGATTGACCCTGACTTGAAAGCCCTGATCTGGACTTTGGGATGCTGGAGTCCGACGAACGCACACGTGCGACCGCCAGTTGGATGAGATTCCGTTCAAATCAGCAGGCCTCGTTTCGATCGGGGTGGGACTGCGGCTGGCGACACAAGCGTTCAATTTGCTAGTCACCGGTTGACACAGACGTGCGCAGTTAGAGATAGACCTAGAAATATGTTTGAACCGACAATTCTGGAAATCAATGGTAGAGTGAGGAAAATCTAACCCAATTAAATACATGCAATATTTGTATGTTGTCTTATCCGGTGGTTGAGATCATGAAAATTCATGAACTACGATTTGGGCAGGTCGCCATATTATATATATATATATATCCAGTTTAGTGTTTAGTTGTTTTAGTTGTTTTTGCCACACCAGTTTAGTTGTTTTTCAAGTGCTTCAATCTGGTTCGAGCACATCATGTTGCAAGTTGTTCATGATATCGTTTGTCAACCCCAGGTTTGCTGAGGACTGTCCTGAGGGTATACACAATCATGTTGAATCTCAACAACTGCTTTTGCTTTTCCACCTCACCGAAGACAAAGACTGTGACTCCCATTTTGACGACCCCTCCATGCTCACAGCGACAACACGGCCTGCGGCGCACAAGCCCGGCGGTGCCAGGTCTTCACTCCTCGGCCATGGGCCCGAGCTCCTCGCAGCTGGAGTCGCCGTCGGAGATGCCGGTGCGGTCGTCGGGAGCTGGAGTGGGCAGATGCCTGGGCTGATAGTTGCGGTTTGGCTGGGTGGAAGTAGCCGCAGCCAAAGAACAGTTCCACACAAAGAAGGGTGGAAGATCCCTTCCATGTGCAAGACATGTGAAAGACTGCTTCCAGCCAACCTCGCTTGTGAAGGCTGAGAGGGTGGGGTGAGTTGGTCCAGCAGTGGATTCATCTAATGTTCCGTGAAGGCTTTTTGGAAGCAAAGAAAATGGTTAGAATGGGAGAGCAGAGGAACTATAGGGAGTTCGCCTACCAATGACTAGATGGCACACCAATAAAGGTGGCTAGAAAAATTGGCATGAATAATGTATCCCGGCTTTTTGGCACTGTTTGTTTGTTTGTTTGTTTGTCTCTTTGTGTGTTTGTCTGTTCGTTTGTTTCTGGACTCATGTCAAGAGGTGTGTGTGCTTGAACTTCAAGTCATGCGATTGATATCAAACCAACAGATGGAATCTCCTTTTAGGCCAGACTGGCCACACGTCCCACCTTGGAGGTACCTACTGAGATGCCCACAAGTCCCATGTCGGACAGGGAGGCCAGCCAGACCGGATTGCGCTTTTTCAGGGCACCTTTGGTGATGACAGGTAGATTAGATTCATGACCCATCCATGGGGTAAGAGTCCATTTTTGGTACATAGCTTTATGGAATGGGTGGGTGAATCGAAAGATGGGCGTGCAACAATCCCCATGAAGCCCTTGACCTGTGTTAGCAGCACTAAGACTTTGTGTTGGGTTCCGGATCGGAGTGAGTGGGGCCTATGAAAATTTGTTAAATATGCTGAATAATGTGAAATATATGGCAGAACATTTGTTTGGTTCGTTCTTAATGAGGGGACCCCACGGAAATCTCTCCTGGCAATACATGGGAGTTGATCTAAAGGGGCGTGTAAGGGGCCTTATATAATACGACCTTTTAGATGCTGTCCAAACCATCCGCGAAAGATCCGCGATCAGGTTCGCGAGAGTATGTTTTCCCATGTTATTTGGATTGTTGAAGGCCCTTCATTATGTTCATATTCTTTGTCACTTCCACCGACATGGTAGAAATACAAGGCAATCCTCCGGCACAGCCGGTGAGTGGAAGTGTCCCCACATGTCCCCACTGTCGCTGACTAACGAACTGAAGCCTCAACGTTTTCTTTCGCACCATAGGAATGTATTTCGAGGACAGAGCCGGCTTGTTGTTTTTGTATAATGACTGTTTTGTCTTGACCTCCATTCGTTTGCGCTACGAGATTGTATCATAACCATCATAACCCCCCCAGTATGCAGAAGCAGATTAGTAGGAGCAGGGCCAAAAGTCGCCGCGGTGAGCAGAAGACCAACAGAACACGGTAATGGGAAAATGAGCGACAACAATCGATGACATCACATTATATAATTGTTTACTATTAATAGATGAAGAGCATTGGTGAAGCACCAACAGGGGCGCAACTTCCTGAACCTTCTCGGCTGGACGGGGAAGAAGAGTGCTGCCTGCCTACAGATAATGTCGCGATCTTTGAGTCAAGCATGTCACGTTTGAGGCCCGGTATGGCCTGGGGGTATCACTACTGCTGCTCGTGCTAAGTCTACTATATTCTACTACCACTACCATATACTACCATCACAACTACCACCACTCCATGCTGTATTTGCATACTGCATACTGCATACTGCATACTACCTACTACCTACTACCTACTACCTACTACCTACTACCTACTACTACTACTACTACTACTACTACTACGACTACGACTACGACTACGACTACGACTACGACTACGACTACGACTACGACTACGACT